ACTCTCTTTATTTTGATTCAGCGTGTTTATATTTTGATCGAAAACAACTTCTGCACTCTTTCCTTTAGCGTAGATTCAATTCATATGTTCTACGCACGGCTTCCGTTTTGAGACCTCAAATGGACAGGTTCACATGACCACGTCTAAAAATGTATATATCACTGTACATTACCATATCTGTAGACTTAAAATATGTTGACTTTTAGTGATACCACAATGCTGCAAAGGTTTTCCAAACAAGGCGTGTTCATGTTTCTGTAGTATTCGATAAGCTTACGGGATCTTTGCTACAATTCTAGTTTTATAAATTATTTGTACAACTTCGAAAAAAGAATATTAATGATATTTTCCTGGAATTTTAGGTGCCAGGCTTTACTTTGCTCAATTCGACTTTAATTTATCTAGTATTATAGATATTTCAACTCTGTTTACACGAAATAACTGATTATGTGCCACCTGTCTGCATGTCAAGAATAAGGATTTAGCTTTAAGACAGGATTAGATAAAAGCTGATTTAAAACTTAAATCTTCATAATATACGAGCTTGGAAATGTGTAGGAAAAATGCGAGGCAGAAACCCGAATCTGCTATCATACATATAAATGACTATAATTATCTCTATATAACAAAATATACGAGTTTTATGTGTGATTCCATGTTCGAATAAGAGGTAAAGTATGGGAAAAGTCTTAGATATATGAAGGCATATCAGAATCGGACACACATTCTGTTTCATCAGTTGTCAGCATTTGCACAATCTTAATCTTAGAAGTTTTATATCAAGTTTACATTATCAGTTTAACCATTATGTAATACTCTCTCTCTCTCTCTCTCTATCAGAACTGGGAGCTCCTAAAGTCAATTGTTATTTTTCTGGGTCATGGAAATATCTATTTTACAAGTTAAAGTAACACTTTAGATTTCGTTCCTTCACGCAAAGCGATGGAGGATAACGATTTGCATGTCGTGATTTTCTTGTGCTTAGTCGAAACCTAGTGGCACTCGCCGTATCTTGGAAGATGAGCCTGACTTTTTACTACATTATATGAAGTCAATTATTCGATCAGTAAAACATAATTCAATCATCTTCTTCTGGTCGGTACTGAACATTGGGGATTTCTAATAGGATCAAGCTAATTTCATCTGACTCCATATTCAGAAGGCACAAAATTGCCACTGGTTTGATATTCCAGGAAAATATCATGTCCTCTTTGACCATATTTCCAGTGTGTTCGCCATCGGCTTGATAATCGTATTGTTTTGACTTCTTTTGAATGCTTTATGCCGTGATTATTCATCAGTCTTGGGGACGTTTTATCCCTGTATTCTTGATTAATAAACTAATTATACTAATTGATAATATGTATAATATTACAGGGTCAAAGAAGGGTGAAAAGAACTCTGTGAAGGCGAAAAATTACAAAGATATCATCCACTTAAGACATTCACCCGCTATAAATATGACATTCCATGTATCACTAGTACGAAGCAGAATAATACAACACAAAGAAGAGAGAGTTTTTATAGCAGAGGTGCATATTTCAGACGATTTGCTAAAAGAATCTCATTCAAGGTAAACAAAAGATGCATATATAAAGACGATTTGCAAAAAAAAAAAATCAAAAATCATGAAAATGGATTCTAAATCTATGTTTATATAAGTAAAATGAAATTAAGTTCGGACACATAAAGTTTATTTTTTTCAAGATTTTTCAATATTCTATTGTGATTTTTTTTTTTAAAAAAAAAAAGTATAGCTTTATAAGGGGAAAAGTGAAAATTTTGAACATCATAAAAATCAACATTTTAAAAAAATATTTAAGAAATTTACTATTTGCATAGTTTATAACTAAAATAAAAGTAGAAATATTAAATCCATATATCCAATTTTTTGTCTGCATTACAAGTGTCCTTCAATGTGGTGTGTGTGTATGTCACACACAGAAGTGTACATACATGTAGAGTATGAAATTTAGTACAAATGAACTGTTCTCAAAAGGACATGGTTTTTTAAGAGACCAACGAAATATTGTAGATCAATATTTTAGATCAAGGGTTATCAGTTTTCAAGAGTTATTAATAATGATCATGTTATTAATTACGACGGGTTTTTTTTTCAACTGCACCCAACTGGGATCTTACCTTAAATTCATGTGGTACGTGCTAATCGAAAATTAAAAATAATGATCACAATTCTCGCGAGATTTAATGAATTAACTTATTTTGATTGGCTGTTAATGTCGACTTAGAACATCTATCTGCGGGAGCCATATCTTGTTCTCGCTCTTTCTCCTGCACTCCTTCAGAGATTTATGATCTGCTACACCGTTGACATGGCCATCAATTCAAGACTAAGAGAGGCTTCTTGAGAAATGTCTATTTTATAATCTTCGAGAAGTCTTAAACAATAATCAGCATCTCTTGATAGACGAGAAAAAACGAAACTTTGAAAATTGAAGCCTTGCAAATACTTGAAACTACAGAAAATACTAGTTCTCATTTAGATCTCTTACAGGAAAATGTTTGCTTTACACATGCCAAAATAGAAACTCTGACATTGATTTTACATTATGTCAACGAGGAATTCAAGAAAATCTAGCTACTGCAATATAACGATAATAATAGGGTTAAGCTAACATCACATTCATTAAGGCCAGTAATTCAATTGTCGATAATATTGATAACATTCATAAAATCAGTTGCTCGTGTAGAATCTTTAGAAAAATCGCCATTTTTAGTCGTATTTTGTGTTTCACTTTTTTTTATATTAAACAATAAACTTACTCAGAGCATAGAAAAATATCAATCTTATAATTCCCGTGTTTCTTCACAATTCATCGTGAACAGCAAGTTTCTTTTTATTTCTAATGCTTCTAAATTTTCATTGATTTCAAAGTGGTGGAGCATGTATTAAGAAATAACAATTATATCTTGATATATTTGTCTTAATACACTTGTATACATTTGCAGATAGACAGGTGCTCGCTTATCTGAAGTCAATATTGACCATCATAAAATAGGTTCTATTCCGTTACAGGATGTTGAATATTTCAAGGATTATGACTTGATGAACCCAAGAAAATATTGATTATCGTTATTAAACTGAAATTGTGGCTCTTCTTTATTCATGTATCTTGTCCAATATTTATTCTACAAAATTTTAGGATGTAAAGTATCGACAAAGAACGGTGCAGTTTTCTTTTAAGGTGACCTATGGTCGAAACATTTATTTGTATTGAACATAGGTTCGAAAAGACATCGAAACAATAATTATCTGAGAGATTTTAAGGTACATTCGGAGATCAAATAACATACGCAGATAGCATCTGTTGAAGGTTTATAACATGTGCTCACCATAAAAAGTGCTGCTGATACGGAGATTTCCAATGCATTATAAACATGTTTGATTCATTGATACCTTCCTTTTAACTAGCTCAACAACTAATGATACTTATTCTACAGAAATTTTCAAAGAAATTTGAATTTTTTTACATACTTGGGATTTTGGATTTTTATTACTGATGATTAGCATCTTTGATTTGTTTGCTTTATCAAAATAATCTAATAAATGAAGATCAAAGTCCTCAAAACTTTTACATTTTATTTAACGTCAGCAGGTGCCCGTTGGAGTTTTTGCTAAGCGATAAAACTAAGCTCAGCGTTTGTGTTATTTGTACGAATAGTTCTGACACATAAGTTTGGGATAAAAGACATCACCCAAGGGGTTAATATTAAATGTGATTCATTCACAGCACTATATTTTCCACTATATTATTAGAAATTATTCGTGTTTTTCAACTTTATTGTTTTTGTGTTGGTCTACCTGAACTGTTAGTTTAGTTTAAGAAGTATTTTATCTATGATATACATAGAAGTATATACAATGAACATGGATTGAACAGCTGGCGAAAGTTGCCTATATTAGTTCTTTCCATGAGAGATCAAGGTACAAACGTAACAATGGTATATATTTGTAGTTTTACAAAGACATGCGTTTTAAACTAATTTTTAAGGAGATTACAGAGTACAAAATAGAAAAAAGAGGGGAAATGAACAATAAAATGAAAAAAAATGACAGGAAGAAAAAAGGGGGTGGACGGGAAAGGGAAAAAAAGGCTGAACTGTTTAAAATATTTTAATGATGATCTTCTTACTTACAACACACAGGGTCATTTTTATTATATTAAGATGCATGTCTCGGGTGTTTTGGACGCAGCAATATTAATAGACATAAAAGACGAGATTCCGTTTTAATAATATCCTTAATTCTAAATCTATCTTTAATTCTATAACATTCGAATAAGTCTTCTAAACAATAAATTATAAAAGCTTTCAAACAGATTCCTTAAGTAAGCTACATCAAATATTTTACGTTTAACCTTACCACCTTCGATAATACCGAGAAGTCGTATTTGGATTATAAAGAGTTTACACGTGTCTCCTTCAATTCTCGCATATGAATCATGACAAGGCTAATTTGTATGGTGTAAGTCGTTTCAAGACCCCACGCAGACTTTTTTTCTGCCGATTTGTTTGTCGTTCAAAAAAGTAATTCCTTCGATTTTTCACAGCCGCAGCATCATTGTAATAAATTTTCATATTGATTGCGATTTTAAAACACCAGATTTCCCTAATGATTTTTTTTTAATTCGAAATTATTTATCAAAGGGTTTGCATTGTGTTATGTTACATGGAATAATTAGTTAGCGCCTCATGTCAATAGTATTCATATATCTCAATGTTTTTTTGTACAAAAGCGATAATTATTAAAAGTTTGATTTACTTATTATAGTGTGATTAAAATAATTTGCCAACAATGATGTGTGGTTTTAATTTGTATAATTATCGACAACTTGTATTTGTTATCGATAAACCAGCTGCACAATACTGCAGATACTTCCTTGCCCTACGATTTAATAATATTTTTTTTTTACTTTCGCAGAGGGGAAATGAACCAAATGAGCAAAAATGACGGTCTATTATACAACATAACTACTCACCTATCCGTCCAAATTCACGCCTGGAACTTTAATCCTAAGAATAATTGAAAAACAACTACTTTCTTTAGTTACGTTTACAGCGTATACACTTCTGTATGGCTATGATCGATCCCAGCAAGCCGAAAACCTCCAATCGGCAAACGTGCACCCTCAATTGCTACTGTAGGGAGGGACTTGCATACTTAAACATATCCCTCACCGCAGCGGCCACTCTGAACCAGTGATATGTTGACGAAGGTGCTGTCAGTCGCAGAATCGACAGGTGTCGCTACTGTCGCGAGTCTTAATCACATGTCACACACACGACGACTGAGCCTGGCAGACAAGCTTCTTATTTCTCGTCCTTATATAAAGCACAAGTTTTCAATTATGAATTGACGCAAATATCTTTTTACGATACAAATTTGAAAACAACATATTGCTTAGAATACTCAGAGTTATTTATAACAGATAATGCCTTTTTACATAAAAACAAAAGCGTTTTTGTGTCGTAAATACAGCGTTATTGGATAACAAAATACAAAGCCTCTGTCTGTTGCGACCTTTGACAATTCATACAGCTGAGCGCCGACAACCTTGGTTGTGGAGTTGTTCATACAGCGTGCTTCCTTACAACTTCCTAGCTACCTGCTACTTTCATGCCGTGTTTATTTACCTTGATGACGTACATATAGGCACGTGTCCATGTACGGTCAAATGATAGTTCCGCTTTCACTATCAATAAAGTGGGACACACACCTTCCCATCTCTTTTCTTTTAAATTTCACACGGAACTACATCAATTAATTCCACCTTTTGAACTTGTGATAAAGTACAGATCGATATTTGGGGTCTAATTAGTGCTTTCTATTTTAATGTTAATTACTCTGCTGTTTTGAAGGCATCGTATTTATTGAACATTTATTAGATTTATATGTCACTCTATATTCTTTGCTCCTTTGAAAGTTAATTCATAGTTTAACACCAGGAAGCAATATGATATAAATACATAGATTTTTAGAATACTGAGCACTATCACGGTTAAAATCAATTATGATACGGTTTGTTAATTTTTAACGCCCTACGCAGATGACTCACAGAGGTAATTCTTTTTTTGGGGGGGGGGGGGGGGTGGGTGGGGGGGTGGGTGGGTATTGATGTGCTTACGTTTGTAAATAGCGACAGTGCAGCACAAAGGAAACGTTTTTCAATTCAAAGCAACAAGTGTTGCATCAATATCGTTAAATAGGAATATATTTATAAATGCAGCAGGGGACACAGTTGAATAGAGTGTTATTCAGAACTATTAGAGCGTCCTATTTCTTAAAATTAATAACTCAAATAAACATGGGCCTTCATTTTGAAAAAAAAATTACTCCTCATACCAATCTCTGAGAGCATAGAGACTGAGTTCTTCTGCTTGGCAGAAGAAATATACATGTACTCTTCAAAAAAAAGAAACGCATAGTAGAATTTTAGTAACACATTGAATATAAAGATTATTTAGTAAAATGATGTATTGACAATAAAGAAATGTGGTTAACAATAGGTCTGCAATCTAAATGTCATAATTACTCAAGAATTTAAAAATCATAGACAGTTCAAGGTCATTAAAGATCAATATCTTGTATGCCCCCCACAGACACAAATGATAGCCTAAAACGGCATCTAATGGAGCAAATGAGTGTAAAAAAATGTATAGGAATACTCTCCCATTGTAAATGTAGAGCTTTGATCAGCTGTTGCAGATTCTGGGGACGCGATTGTCTTTGGCAAATCATGCCAATCCATTTTGTCCCATGCATGCTCAATTGGGTTTAAATCTGGCGATTTAGATGACCATGACAGAAACAGGTTGCTGTAACTTTGCAAGAATGCGATTGTAAAACGAGCCGCATGTGGCTGTGTATTGTCAGATTGAAATACGGCTGCAGGATGCTGCAATATTGGAAAGGCATGTGCAGGTAGAACATCGTTAGAGTACCTTTCTCCATCAAAGTCCTTTGAATATGAACCGAATCAGTCTTACTTTTATGGAATACCGTTTTTCATATCATTACACTACCACCACCAAATCTATCTACGTCCTGGAGGCAGTTTTCTGTAAAACTTTCATTACGAAGCTTATGCACTCTTAAACTTATAACAGGCTTTGCGATAAACATTCTGGATTAGTAGCTAAACGAAAATGTTCAGCGGTGTTGCTGTGGCCATACTCTGAAGTCGATATTTGCGGTGTTGTGGGGTCAGAACAATGGCATGGATATCCTCTGGCAATAATTCCAGCATTCCATAGTCAACTGCAAACGGTCTTGTTAGATGTTCTGTGCAGTAATCAGGGATAGCTAATGCTGTAGATGACGTCATTGTGAAACATTCATGAAAATTAAGTAAACCACTGAAGCGATCCTGTGCTGTTGATGTCACGTGTGGTCTGCCATAGTTTTGGCGAACATAGGGTGTTCCATGTTAATGGTATATGTTTTATAGGTTAGATATGGTGCTGTGCGTAACATTAAAACCTCTTGCAATTGTAGACTGTGGTACAGCTGCTTCCAGTCGCCCATTTTCCTTTTTGTGATATGCAACATTCAGATGCAGCATTTTTAAATAGCGTCAATTTTCAGATAAAACCAGAATCAAAATATCGAGAATCCTAGCTTTTGATAGCCCTTTGGTGTCTGAAGCAACTGCATCAAAAACCACCAAATGAAAATTGAGAAAAAAAAATTTTTTTAGCATTTTGCAAAATCGGGTCTTTTCGTCTGTGAGATTTGTAGAATAGTTGTACAATTAACAAATGCTAAATTATATATATAAAAAAAAAAATAATAATGCATTTTACTCCAGTGAATCATATCCATCTTAAAAAAAATTGTATCACAAAACTATCTTACATTTTTCAGGGTATTATTCCTACTATGCGTTTCTTTTTTTGAAGAGTATGTATGATGCATGTATCAACATAGGGGACATTCAAACTGACCTGCAATAGGTAACTGCATGTGTATCTTAATTAGTGTGATGTAATCATTTCCAGTATGACGTTAGATTGGAAATTTGTTAAAGACATATATTTAGTAAGAGCATTGTGAACCTTAACCCTTAGAGTAATTCACTAGAAATTTGTAGTTATATTGGAGTCTCGGTGTATATCAAACAGTTTAGACCAAAGCAACAGAATGAGCGAAAGTCTCATTTGATGAAGTAGGTAAAGTAAGTTTAGAGATCGTAATACGTATGTATTTAACTATTTGCTCTAACTATAGTTTTCACTCGTGCAAGTACATCCGCCAGTTTACATATATATATGTACAAATGCTAAACCAAGTTAATCAATCTGTGAATACACGTAAATATAGTTTTTATTGATATTAATATAAGTATGTTATGACATGTAGGCTTGTTAACTATAGCACTGTGTCATTAATCATACTTTCACTAATCATGTACTTATATATGCATCAGATAATTTATGTTTTACAATTAGTAACTTACTTTTAGTTGCAAACTACTGTTAACAATTTAGATTCATAAACTGTATTTAACAAACGTTTAACGTCGGAAACTATATATTATATTTGTGAATATAGGTCAGAACTGTATGAAATTATAACTGTAGCTTATGGTTGTAAATGTTATAATCATTAACATACGTTTAAAGTTTAGAGTTGCTAACCACATTTTATAAGTCATGAAACTATAATCAGCAGATAAACCATGTTTTACACTTGTAAATTAAAGTTTTCACTGTTAAATATAGTTTACTCATGTTAAACATAAATTAAGCCGTGAAGTTTTGAGGCATTAGATGTAGATTAATGTCGTTAACTAAAGTTTAAGCCTTGTAATCCTTAGTGTTCGACTGTTTACACTAGTTTATCAAATCAACCATATGTTTCAGTAATGAAATATGAAGACTTCTTTCCGTTTTCATAATATTTATAAATGTTAAGCGTAATATTTCTGTGTGCTTAGGTCAAGGGTATTTAAATCCGGTCTGGTGTTTTGGTCATTCGAGTTAGTACTCAGCTATAAATAGCAACAATACCATGATATTGATATCGAACACATTTTTTTTTCGTTCATTTGTAAGTTGTTCATAATATATTTTCCATTGTTGTTTTGGATTGTCCAGAATTAGCAGCATAATTTTAATGAGAAGAATTTCACATGAGATAATTTGAATTGTATATTATAGGTACTTATAACGCCATTCATCTTGTACATCGCCATTAAAAATAATTCACACTACTATTTAGAGGGAGACAATGCAAGAAGACTTAATCTTAATATTTTAATATTGTATATCATAGGAAAGGATACGCGTAATATTATGTTAAATCAGAGCTGGGTACACGACTCATATCTTATAAACACTGTTAATATGTTCTTGGTTTGTTATTATGGATTAGAAAAGAAATAAGAAATGTTTTAATTGCGGATGAACAGTGTGAAGTAGAAAATAACAGTATTCAATCTCGAAAGTCCAATGAAACAATACAAATTTGGAGCAGAGCAAACACGGACCTCAAAATTTAGAGGTGGGATAAGGTGCCATGGAGGAGTGAGTATCCCTACCGACCGGTCACACCCGCCATGTGCTCCTTATCATGATCGGAAATTAACGAAAAATCCGTAGACAGTTCAGTGTATAAATAATGGTCTAACAATTAGTATGAAAAACATCAGTCAGCATTTGACTCAGTGATAAGTGTATGTGCTGACAAGGTCATTGTATCGACCATAAACATAAAACTTGAGAAATGATGACTTCAAACGAGACTGTTAATATCCTTGTTTCATCAACTTGTTTGTCAATAGTTTGCTTCGTTTTAGAAATAGTTCATACGTAGAGCATGCTCTTGCGTATCGAATCAACTGAGAGACATAAACCCCATATGCAGGTGATAAGGGTATATTGCTACATATGTAAGGGAAGTTGACGATTGAAAAGTTGAAGTCATTACGTTTATCATAAAGCTTTGTTGTAAGGTTACCATTGTCTTTTTCTAGTAAATTATCTGAAAATGAAACAGATGTGTCAGACTCTGAAGTATCTTTTATTTCAAGCTCACTGGGATATATCGAGTCGACATATGAATGAAAGTAACTATTGTCAATTGATAATACGTCGTCGATATTACAAAATGTCGAGTTGAAGGCCACAGCTAGTGTTTTCTTCTCATGTTGAAGTTTTTAAATAAATTTCTTGAGTTGATATTTAAAAGATGCTTGAATTCCACATTGACAATATCTATGTAGCCTTTGGAGACCAGGTATGCGATCAATTTGTTTGATTTTGATTGATAATAATTGTGCCTTTACTGCCC